TACTTAAACTCGTACCGCTTCGTTTTAGATTGCAATAGCCAATGATATCGCAGCTCTCCTCCCGGAATCCTTCTAGATTGCTTCTTCGTCTCGCCGTCGTCATGCATTCCGATAATAATTTTATTTCAGTATTTGGTTATGACTTGTTGACTTCGTACCTASTGCGGTATCTCGGAACAGTGGAACGATGCTCTCAATCGCCATGAATCACTGGCACTAACCACTCGCTAATGCATTAGTACAATACTTTACTGTCAAATAACCGTTCACAATTATACTTGCACGTCAGACGATTTCCCGAACTCCGTTCATATTTTGCAGCAAGGTCGTGGTTGTTTCGATGCCTATCAAACTCAACTCGGACGATTGGAGGGACTGCAAGTATCTGTTGTCGTACACGATTGGTAATATAAGCATGATTTTAATTATAATATTTCGCAAATAGAGTTTGGATTTCCAAGTTAATATATATACCGATAAGACTTTCAACACCAAATATTTTTATAACATTAGACACCGCATTTAACAAAATAAATACAAATATCTATTACAATTTAATGTTTGATAAGTGATGGCATACCTATGAATCTGCTTTAAAAATATATTACTTCAGAATTTGTATCAAACTGTAAAGTCTTACATACATTTTTAGTCTTATTTTCTTTTACGGTACCTACTATTTATTACTATCCACCTAGGGCTGTATTTAATTTAAACATTTTCATTATGGCTATCTTGTTGTATACGCTCTAACGGTGACATTACGACTGCAGTATGCACTCTACCGTTTTTACCACTCTAATTGTAAGTAATATRAGTAATTTGTATTCTTATTACACCATACATACATACACAGGTGATAGGTACAAGCATTCATTTCGAGATTAATTTTATATACAGATAAGTCGAACTATAGGAATATTTGGAAACCGTATTTTTAGATTGATTTTATTCTGATAAACATCACAGTTTGGATAATTTTGAATTTTTTAAGATAATAATATTATCTGAGCCGGCACGGATTAAGATTACAATTTATAGATTGAAAAATAATATTATTATATAAATTGTATCATAAAATAAAAAATAATAATATTCACGCAAAACCAAATAGTCAATAAAAGAAGTAAAAAAAAAAAATAATAATACACTTAAAATTATATAAATAATTAATCAATGAGTCAAATAATGTTATACCATATCAAATTTTGTTAACAATTATAAATTATAATGTATTGTATGTAAAATTTAATTAAATATTGAAACTTGGGATATCTCTTAATATGCAGTCTACATTTTATGCGATCTACCAAAATAAATGTGGTCTACACTCTACCGTAATAATATGAAAGTATATACAGGGATCTTGTAATTGTAGGTACCTGTAAGACCTAACCTGTAATGTATACAGAAAAAAAAAATTATTAAGAAATTAATTTATCTTTTAATATCTTTTAAATTAATTTAATCTTATACCTATCTACTATGATTTTACAAAAAA